TCTTGTTTCTTCAGGGACAGCCCTAAGTTTCACCATATTCATTCATGTCACTTTTTACCATGTAATGGTCAAATAGTTATCTCTTGGTATGTGATACGGGTAAGTGGAAGAACCTGATTAGTTACTAAACTATATAGAAGGCAGAGTTCTTAGGATGTCTGTTTTTAGTCTGATTTCCTTTTATTGTTTTCTTTAAGATGAGATCCTTTTTAAATTCATTTCCAGCAGACTTGTTAGACTTCACTGTTCATTTACACAGAATCCACTGAAGCTAAAGTAGTTCACAGCCGGAAGTTCCATGTGATATATACTTCAGTGACTTTCCATTGCCTTCACGAAAAAGTCCACACTCTCAGAATTCAAAGAGACATTGACCTTAGCCTGTTTCTCTTGTCATATCTTCAACTGCCTCCCTTCCTAAACCTGCTGTTCTGACTAGACAGTACCGATTATCTCTCCTGTCCCTTTGCCTTGGTAGTTTTGCTCATGCTCCACCCTAGTAAGGGAATTTCTTCACATTACTCTTCACTTATCTGGATGCTTTCTGGTCTGCAAGCTCTTTACCCAGGGACTACTGTCCCTTGTGGCTCCTTCTCCCACTCCGAATTCTTGTAACACTATCTATATCATTTGTTTGGTTATTAAACCTCTGTGGGTTTATGGATTTTTTAGAAAATTGAATCGGTCCATTGTTGCAATTTCATGTATGTGCCCACTGTCTCTCCTCCAAAGGATGGTAAGCATCTTGAAAGCAGATGCCATGTCATATGACCTTTGTATTCTCACTGTGTAGCATAGTGTCTGGTCTATGGGGGTATTTTTAAATGTTGAAAAAATTACTTAATTAATTAAAATTACTTAACATTTCTGAGCCTGGTGGTTCTGTTGATAGTGACAAAGAGACTGACATTAGGGGATTGGCTTTTTTGTGAGGACGTTCAAGTGATAGCAGAAATACATGAGCAGATATTCCCTAGACGTTGACGACGGGAACTTTGTTGAGAGCACATATTTATAAATGCATACTCGACAGTGACTGATGTACAGATAGTATTTCAGGACATAATGGGAGATGATTTTTGAAGAAAGGAGATAGTGTTGGAGGAATTGAAAGTTCCAGAATACAGTGTAACCTAGAAACATAGGACAAGAAAAGAAAAAAGAAGTGGTAGAAGGAGATAATTACACACCTAATAATATTTCTTCCAGCATCGAGCTCAAGATGTCCCATAGAGTAGTGTACTGTTTGAATAAATACAAGTAGGAAGAAAACTGAGGTAGTGTGGGAAATGAAATCCAGGTTTGTCTGATGCTAACTCCCATGAGCTTTGATCATTGCTACCCAACTTCACTTGTAATTGTGAGGAATTTAACCTAAGGAGAAATTCTCTATTATGTGGAATAATCAGGAAAGTCATTAGGAGTGATGCTGTTGCTTTATTTCCTTCTTGTTCTAATGCAAATTTTATAAATCACATTGGATAAAGCACTTCATACCTATGATTCGAGTGTTACAATACTCCTGGCAGGTATATTCGAATAAATAAATTTAAAGAATAAATATATATAAATATATACAAAATAATAAGAATAGCGATCTCAGGCCTGATATGGTAACTCTTTTCTATACAGATTTATTTAAACTATTAGATTGAAACATTAAAAGTTGTTAAATTTTAACCATTTTTCACTACATAAAAGGCTATTTCATGTGGTTCAACCTCTAGTTCTGTGTTCTAGGTCACTCCCCCAAAGCTGTGTCCTCACAAGTATATGTCCGCAGAGGGGCTGTATGCCCACAAACTCCAATTGAAGACTGTAGCAGAAAAGCATGTATGCAGTAGTTCCTCCTTATCCATGATTTTGTTTTTTGAGGTTTCAGTTACGGTCAGTTGTAGTCCAAAAATATTAAATGGAAAATTTCAGAAAAAAAAATTCATAAATTTTATGCTCTTCTGAGTAGTGTGATGAAATCTCGTGCCCTCCCGCTCTGTCCAGCCTGAGATGTGAATCATTCCTTTGTCCAGTGGATGCACACTGTAGTTGCTGCCCACCTGTCAATCACATAGGAGCTGTCTCTGTAGATCCAAAAAACATAGCGTATATAGGGTTCAGTACTACCCACAAATTCAGGCATCCACGGGGGGTCTTGGGAACCTAGTAGTCCCCCATGGGTAAGTGACTATACAGAGCTGGAAACTGAGTTTAAGCTTTTGCTGTATCACAGCCCACATTGCAGATTTTATTAAAAAGAGTGACTGAAATACATTATCCTTGTGGATGTCAAGTCCCCATATTATTCAGTGAGATTTAAACAGGATGATGCAAAGGTTATAGTCAGAAGTGTCTCAGAGCAAGTGTTTTGACTAAATTGACAGGTCATTTGTTGGACCAATTATTTTCAGCAGTTGAGAGAAGACTGTATTGGACCATACAGCCAGAAGTAGAAACAAAGCCGTGAGAACACCAAGGCCTTTATGGGAAGATGTTGGAATGAATCAGTGAGTGGTAGAGGATGTGGATTGCACAGTACACATTGCAGCACTTACTGGAGCTACAGAATTTTCACCAGATGAAGGCTCCAAATGTCTGATGCCTCTGTATTTTGTTGCGGAGTATGTCGGAAAGAGAGTCCCAGACCACCAGGGTGCTTGTCTGTATCCTTCCTCTTGTCTTTACCTCAACACTCACATGTGACACTAATGGAATACAGCTTTCAAGCTAGCAGGATGGTCAATAAAGATTACATAAGGCTAGCAAAGACTTACTGAGCATCATAGTATATGGCTTAATTTTCTTTCTTTTTTTTTAAATGAAAGAAGAGAGATTCAAATAAATAATACTGGAAAGTCACCTGAATCATTTTAATTTTTTTTCATGAGAACCTTTATAAGGGTATATAGAATCCTATCTTCTCGTTAATGAGGATTTTCAGGTTTTTAAATTTTGGAAATCAGAAAATGAATAAATTCCTCTTGTCATTGTGTTCTTAAGTAGTGAAATCCCCTGCACTTTGTTTAAAAAACAAAAAACTCCCTGTTTTATTTTCCCAATGTTATTGAGGGTTTTTTTTTAAGGCTCAGATTTACTTAATATAATGAAAGGCATCAAATCTTAGAAAACTGTCATCTCCCCCAAACCCTGAACCAGAAAGACTAATTACCTCTTCCCAAACCAGGCCATACTCTAAAAATTATATCAATAAGTTCACCCTACCTAAGAGCCCCAGGAGGTATGACTGTGGCTGAGCTGAAAACTTCTGGAGCCAGCTGCTGACCCAGACTTTTCTGCCACATTAGTCACTTGCCCCCAGGACCCCGTCACCAAGTTAACATTGGTTTGCTTTCTCTCAAATCCCTGAGGAACCAGAAGCCCAGTTTCCTGAAGAGAGCTAAAAATACTTTCTACCATTTGTCGTGCCTTGCTGTGGGCCAGGCAATGATCTACCTTTCTGTACATTATCTCATTTAATTTTTACAGCTCTGAAAGTAGATGTTTTTCCCCTTTACAGATGGGGAAATTAAGACTTAGAGATGTTAAGCAACATGCTGAGGATTCATCTGGTAAATGGCAGAACCAGGTTTGCTGACTCCAAAACACACTCAAACCTGCATGGGTGCTATGAGAATGGGATGCCCAGGACTCCACAGAAAAGCATAGAAGCTGGGAGAAAGGGCCTTGAATACTTGTTAAACACCTCCTATGTGCCAAGGCTTTTGGTAGATTTTTAACACATATCTTCTCAGATAATCCTTTCAACAGTTCTGTGAGTTAGGCAGTATTATTACCCCATGTGACCTACTTAGAGAGGCCAAATAACTTCCTGGCCACTCACCTGGTTACGTACCAAGTCTCATATTTGAACCCAGGTCTGTCTGTGTCTTTTGCTGTTACAGTGTTCACCAAAGAAGTTTTTGAAGAAATGCAGACTCTTAAACCATAGCAGAAGAAAAAGAGTGATATGAAAGCAGAGAGATGGCCTGAAAACTTTAGAAATACATCCAACCTAACAGGAATTAGCAATATATAATCTTAGACCAAACAACCTGACAATTTTCAGAAATTATTTTTAGTTTTCAAAATTTAACCTATTGTTACTAATCCAAAAGGCTTACTGGAAAATAAAATAACATAAAATAAAATTAACCTATCAATTTCATATGAGCATAGAAAAATTTTAAGATGGATTTTACATTTGTCTCATGGTCAGTATGACTCAGAAGGTCTTCTGAGGTGGAAATGAATTCCCGACATCCAGACGATAATGAAGTGGGCAGACAGACCTCTGATGTTCACCTAGAGTGGATCCAATAAAAGTTAGATATAGATAAATTAGAGTTCAAGTAACCAGAACTCCTGTTCAATTGAATTTTTTTTAAATTTGAATTTCAGCATAATAAAGCAAACTACAGCCTCCCTCGAGCACCCCACCCCCAAAAGCGTTTATCGGGCCGATTCAGAAAAGTGACTTGTACTAAACATATGTGGAAGTATTTTCAATCTCCATGGTCTGCTGTTACATAATATTCAGTTAGGGTTGATGTTTGTTGTCAGGACCTGGGGCTACTGCAGAGACCCAATAACCCCAAAGAAAGATTAAATGATGTTGAATATACCAAAGCAGAAAGAAATTAATGCATTTGAAATATATTCTAAGCCAATGGTGCTTTGTAAGAACTCAGATCCAAGACTTTAGACTGCGGTCGTCCTTCCACGTGGTTGCTTTATGCGTAAACTGGTACAGCTGTGGGAAAGGCCCTTCATGGCCCCTTGAACATGCCACTTCTATAAGATTGGTCACTCAAGCCAAGGTTGTTGATTTTTTATATGTCCTTCCTACTCCTTGAGGGCACGGGTTGTAACTACTTCATCTTTTCATTTCCTTAATCTAGCCTAAGAACCTGGTACATAGGTTAACAGTAAATGTCGAATAGGTAAATGTTTCTGAAGAAATTTTAAGAAACTAAATGTATCTTTTCTCTTTTGTCTCATTTCTGTAGCACCCGACAGCTATAAAGTGCAAGATAAGAAAAATGCCTCCAACCGCCCTGCCTCTGCAATTTCAGGACAAAATAACAACCACTCAGGAAATAAACCAGGTATGATGCATTGCATTAATTGTGGGAAAATAAAGATTATCTTTTATGCCCTAAAGGCATGCTGACGATTATAAAGGTTTAATTTGTTTAAATTCTAGTTTTCATAAAACTAGAATTTAGGAGAGCTTAGTTTCAGTCCTGCCACCAAACACACACTCCTACTGGCTTATATGATATTAAGTCAGAGAACCTCTCAAAGCCAAGCCTTGGTTTTCTCTCTTTAAAATGTAGATTCAAACACACGTCTTGCTTACTTCTCAGAGTCATTTTGACAATCAATGAGATGATGTATGTGGATGCACTCATTTAATGTCAAGCAGTTTAAAGGGGTAATAATTTTACTATTCTGTTTCAAATGATAGGACACAATTTTGTATACCTGTGTGTCCAACAGGCATTATCGCGTTATCTCTTTTGTGACTTTTTCAAAAACTATTTCAAGAAATCTTTACACATAGCAAAGCTTGTATAGAATTATGGTTTTGTTTGCTATTCCTTGCAATGATTGTATGCCTACACAGTAATTTCATATAATAGCCTCTGATTCATAGTCTCTTTCATTCAGTGATACAAATAATCTAACAGTCTATAAATATAATACAAACAATTGAACCGACAGTGCGGTTTCTTCCAGATATCCAGTAACCATTGCGTGACCTGTGGAAGGAATGAATGTATGGTATGATAATAAGAGACAATCAAAGGAAAGGAAAGCAAACCAAATACCCCAGGAGGTTCTTGGAAACCTATTTCATGCTGCATCCAGTACTGAAGTCACTCAAGCACAGTGAATCAGTGAGAATAAAGATAGAAATAACTGAGTCTAACCTTATAGAGAATATTCTACTGTGTTTAGTTTTGTGAATTTTTTTTTTCATGTGGAAAAGGTCTTGAACACAACAGACAAATCTGCTTTGTCATTTAGAGGAAAGACAATAACAAGTATTGTTGAAAATATTGCTTAAGCTGCCATTAGTGGAAAATGATGTGCAGCCTCAGAGGAGTTTTAATTACCAAACAGAGATTTCCTTAGTCAGCCTGCCTTTTCATTGAGTCATTTATCCATCCATCTAGCCACCCACCTTCCAGCTACCATCTAATGTTTACTGAGTTCTTCTATGCCAAAGAAGCATGAGAGATGTACTGCATGAGCAAACAACATGAACCCTGTCCCCATGGAGCGTATTCTAGTGGACCTTTATTTTCGTATTCAAGTGTGTCTCCATGCAAGTAGAAGTTCTTTAGCATGAAAAGCACATTTGTTGGGCCGATGGTGGAAAGAGACCTCGTAGCTGAGTTTCCCTGGCCTCCAGTGCTGCGCTGAGGTTATGGCCCGCTTCGTGACTGGGCTGGGTGCACAGGGCCAGCGGGTGGTGTTGGTCACGTCAGGTGGCACCAAGGTCCCACTGGAGGTGTGACCGGCCCTTCTGCGATGTTTTACGTGGTGTAGTCATGTCAAATTTCTATGTTCCTGTCTCTGAAATGCCTGAGCACAAGATCCAGTCATCTGGGGGCCCACTGCAGAGAACAGTGAAGATGGTGCCAAAAATACTTTCCCCTTTGATTGAAGATTGTGCTCCCAAAGCATTTATAATTTCCTTTAAGTTGGAGACTGACCCCTCCATTGTAATTAATCGAGCTCAGAAGGCTTTGGAAGTTTATCAGCATCAAGTGGTGGTGGCTAATATCCTTGAGTCATGACAGTCCTTTGTGGTTATTGTAGCCAGACACTCAGAAACCAAGTTATAGCTATCAGAGGAAGAAATAGAAAAATACATAGAGATAGAAGAGAAGATAATGGATAATCTTCAGTCTTGACACACAGCTTTAATATGTGACAAAAACTGAAGTAAAAAGCCCTTACATTATCAAAAATTGTCCAGGGCTCTTACAGTTGGTGAAGACTATAATAAAGCCTTTGCTTTCATATGGACAGAGAAAATGAAGGAAAGGGAAGAGGCAGTGGTGCACAGGCAAATATGCTTTGGTATTTGTCTTTTAATGACACGTGATACACTCACCTGAATGTCTTCCTGATTTTGAAATTGAACACTAGAACTGTTTCTCACCTTTAAATAGAAGAGCTTATTGGGAAATATATATTACTTTAGATACACATTGGGGCCTGAATATCAGCCTTCTTTATACTGTAAAAAGAGGATTATGGATGCATGAATGGTCATGCTTTGGAAGTCAAATATTTGTTGAGTGCCTACTGTGTGTCAGGCCCTGTGCTGAGCCACAAGGGTTAAAAAGATGAATAAATGTGTTTTAAAAAAATAAAAGAAAATCACATGTCTTATACAATGAGAATTTAACATAGCTTAATTGTTGGTGCTGTATTTCTCTGATTCTCCCCATCCACCACTGCTTCTAATTTCTACTTTTTTTTTTTTAACTGTGCAGTTTATACTTTTATATCCTGATAACTCATTTATTCATCTAGTGTTAGCATCATGAAGGTACTAGGAATATATTACTAAAAGACATAATCTCTACCCTCCAGTTGACAGTATGATAGATAAACCAATATATGAATAAGTCATTCTAACACAGAACCACCAGTGTGATGAGAGATTGCACACAGTGTATAGAGATCAGAAGCCAGAAAAACCTCTTCCACCCTAATTGGCCATCTCCTTATACACAGTCATTTGATTTATATTGCTAAAGTCAAGTTAAATAGGGAGACATTTCACTTCTGATTGTGTCTCTTTGAGCATCCCTGTGTCTGTTTTCTTGTATATACAGATAAGCCAAGCTCTATAAAAGGCTCTTGATTTAGAAGCCACCATGTCATTATTTTCCTGAGTCTCTCCAAAGGATAATATGAGTTATGTGTTGGAGGGCTGGCCTTGAGTAATACCTTTTAATTTTTGTGGAATACAGGTCATGGGAATGTCTGTCTAAAGCATTTTGTTGATTTTCATTTTCTAGAACTTGGGGGAAAAAAAGTTCATTATGTATTTTGGGATATTTTGAGTATTGTCCTAACCAGGTATGAGCATCCTGACTGAATGATTTCGGAGAATCCCTTTTAACCCAGTAAGTTTTGGCTAAATGTCCTTTCCTTTTTTACCGTCTGATACTTAAACTCGTTAGAAGGCTCCAGAACATCTCTATGATTTAGAAGACATTTCTCCACATTCAAGTTGTGACTTTTATATTTAAAGCGCATTATGGCTGGCCAGGCGCCAGTGGCTCACGCCTGTAATCCCAGCAATTTGGGAGGCCAAAGCAGGTAGATCACCTGAGGCCAGGAGTTCGAGACCAGCCTGGCCAACATGGTGAAACCCCATCTCTAATAAAAATACAAAAATCAGCCGGGCATGGTAGTACACACCCATAACCCCAGCCACTCAGGAAGCTGAGGCAGGAGAATCACTTAAAGCCAGGAGGCAGAGGTTGCAGTGAGCCGAGATCCGCCACTGTACTCTAGCCTGGGCAACAGAGCGAGACTCTGTCTCAAAAAACAAACAAACAAAAAAGCACATTACGGAAGTGCCTCGTGGGGTTTTAGAACTATGAGCACACTATGTTCTGCGTTATCCTGGAAGGACCATTGCTCTCAAATGTGAATACTTGAACCCAGACCAAATCAGACAGTTTGTAAAGTCACAGATCTATCCACATCTACTAATTCCTGAAGAAGTGGGAGGTGGTTCTTCAGAACTCCGGCTGCCTCCAAATGATTAATAGTTTGACTTCCTTAGAAAACTGCGTGTTTTCCTGGACCTGAGAAAAGCAGATATCCAAATTCATTAAAAATCCCTCTGAATTCCTATCCCTTTGCTGTCCCCCAACAGAAGTCTTTAAAAGAGCCACTGAAACTTTATTCTGTCTTATTGTTTATAAGTAAATTGCCCTCATAGAGGCGTGCATGACTTCGAATCTTCCAGCCCTTCTCTGATGCTACACCGTGCAATTGTAATGACTGTAGCTGCCATGGTGCATGGATGGGCACAGGACTGAATTAGAGATCGGATTTTATGCCCTCGCTCTGACACATGTCCTTGCTGTCTTCATTAGTCATATCTATTTCTCTGAGTTTTTTCATTTGAAGAAGAGGCATAGTAACTCTTCATTGAATAAATGAATGCTTGGCTAACTCATAGTGTTATTGGGAAGAATAAAGTGATAATATGTGAAAGTGCTTCATAAAGTACAAATTGCTAACAGAAATACAGAAGTATTTACTGTAGAAATAGTAGTTGTTACATATGAGTCAAGGCCTAGTGAGTTCTTGTAAAAGCCTTGTCAACTTTGAGAGCTCTTTAGTAGCATGACCATACTCTCAGATGTGTGTAAAGCAATCCAGGTTTATACATATTATCAAACACAGAATTTTAATGGCACTCCCTTTCACCCTTAACAGTGCCCCAGGTTAGGTGTCACCCCACACTTGAACCATCATAGGTAGGAGGTTGAATGTGGAGTGTAACTGCGATCTTACTTAAGCCTAAGTTCTATTCCTCTTAAAGCCTTTTTCCTTGTGAGAATTGGTAACTTAATTTTATTCTAACCATATTAGATCCATTGGGAAACAATGTAGAATATACATTATTTTATTTTATTTCAAGACAGAGTCTCACTCTGTCGCCCAGGCTGGAGTGCAGTGGTGTAATTAGGGCTCACTGTAACCTGGATCTCCCAGGCTCAAGCGATCCTGTCACCTCAGCCTCCTGAGTAGCTGGGACCACAAGCATGTGCCATCACGCCTAGCTAATTTTTTTTTATTTCTGGTGGAGATGAGGTCTCCCTTTTTCAAATGAGCCTGGGTTGGTCTCAAGCTGCTGGACTCAAGCAATCCTCCTGCCTTGGCCTCCCAAAGTGTTGGGATTACAGGAGTGAGCCACTGTGCCTGACTTATATATAATTTTTTTCTTTTGAGACAGAGTCTCATCTTGTCACCCAGGCTGGAGTGCAGTGGTGCGATCTCGGCTCACTGCAACCTCCGCCTCCCGACTTCAAGCGATTCTCCTGCCTCAGCCTCCCAAGTAGCTTGGATACCAGGCATTCACCACCGTGCCTGGCTAATTTTTGTATTTTTAGTAGAGACAGGGTTTCGCCATGTTGCCCAGGCTGGTCTTGAACTCCTGACCTCAAGTGATTCGTCTGCCTCGGCCTCCCAAAGTGCTGGGATTGCAGGTGTGAGTCACCGTGCCTGGCTGACCTATACATAATTTTAAAGTATTTTCTATACCTTTTGTTTCAGGGGAAAATAATGTGGGGGTGGAAATGAGAAGGGAAGCAATGAATTATAGGAAATTCACTATTTACTGGAATTATTTAATTGTATGTTTTTGAAAACCTACCTTTAAAGATAAATTTTTATCAGTTTTTAGTTATTAAAACTAAAATTTAAATTTCTAGCATTTAAATAGTTTACTCTGTTATCAGCTACAAGATTGTTCTTAGTTTTTCCCATTGGTGCATCTTAATAGAAGTTTAAAGGCTCTGAGGGTTAGCTAAGGTTGCTCATTGTTCATTCATCCATTCAACGAATACTTATTGAATATCCTTTTCTGCCACATGCAGCCCTAGGCATTGAGAATGCAGCAGGGAAGAAAACAGACAAGTCTCTGTTCCTTCCCAGCCCCATGCACAGCCATCTTTAACCTGCCACAGGTGTTAATGACATTCTAGCACCCAAGAGACTTTCGTATTAATGGGAACAGAAGGATGGAAACAACCTACACTGAATAACTTTTTCACTCTACAATTCAGTATTTCCTAATGCCAGGTTTCCAAACCAACCAAAATCATCTAGTATAGCACAGCCACTATGCATCTTGAACTTCAGAAATGTTACATTTCTTTACTTCCTCAAATCTATTTCCAGATAGATAGTAATTATTTCAGCACTAATGTTGATGGACAGCCAGGAACTACTGCAGTCATAAGCATTGGCCTTATTTACAGCGTTTAATTGTATAAAAGTTTGGTCGTTTACATATTATCTTACGAAACAGGATGCAGTTTGTTACATGTTAAGAATATAATTTTCATATGAAACAATAGCATAGAAATCAGGGAAAAACTAGCACTTCTTGTACTGTTTTCAGAATATACATTCAAAAGGCACTTTGCAGGGGGAAGCATTACGTTGCATAATTGGGCATTGCCTCATTACTGCAGGAGCACCAGTTATTACTATGACTTGGGGCTGTCAGGGTTGGTGTGGGTTGCCGGGGGTAGCATTTGTCCCATATGTTATTAAAGCCTTCTTTTCAAAATTTTGTATGAAATTTGGCATGTACTTAAAAGTAAGCTAGACATGTCATATACTTCATATTGAAATATTGTCTAACAGAATTTGTCAGTGGAATTTTAAAAGTAATTAAACTGTCTATTTTACAGACTTTCCATAATGTGTTCATATGACTTTTACAACATTGATTTTCAACTTTTATAATTAAATAAAAGTTTTTATGAGGCTGGGTGCGGCGGTTTATGCCTGTAATCCCAGCACTGTGGGAGGCTGAGGCAAGAGGATTGCTTGAAGTCAGGAGTTCAAGACCAGGCTTAGCAACATAGTAAGAGCCCATCTCTACCAAAAAAAAAAAAAAAAAAAAAAAAATTAGCCGAGGTCGGGCATGCTGGCTCACGCTTGCAATCCTAGCACTTTGGGAGGCTGGTGGATCATCAGAGGTCAGGAGTTTGAGAGCAGCCTGACCAACATGGTTAAACCCTATCTCTACTAAAAATACAATAGCTGGGCCTGGTGGCATATGCCTGTAATCTCAGCTACTTGGGAGGTGGAGGCAGGAGAATCGCTTAAACCCAGGAGGCAGAGGTTGCAGTGAGCCGAGATCGCGCCTCGAGCCTGGGCAGGAAGAGCGAGGAAACTCCGTCTCAAAAGTTAGCTGGGCGTGGTGGCGCACCTCTGTAGTCCCAGCTACTTGGGAGGCGGAGTCAGGAGAATCGCTTAAACCCGGGAGGCAGAGGTTGCAGTGAGCTGAGATCGCGCCATTGCACTCCAGCCTGGGGAGGAAGAGTGAGAAAACCCCGTCTCAAAAAAAAAAATTAGCTGATTGTGGTTGTGCACACCTGTAGTCCCAGCTACTTGGGAGGCTGAGGTAAAAGGATGACTTGAGCCAGGGAGATTGAGGCTGCAGTGAGCCATGATCGTACCACTGCACTCCAGCCTGGGTGACCGAGCAAGATCCTGTTTAAAAAAAAAAAAGTTTTCATGAGTGAGTAAACCTCATATTATTTAAGGAGTATTAAAGTGATAAGTAATTGTTAAAGGTCTTTCTTTTAACTTCATCTTGGCTTTTATCCCGAGTTCTTTCTTTAAAATACCATTTTACTATGGCCACCATTTTCTTTCAGAAAAACAAATGACAGCAAAAACTTCCTGTGGATAGCCCTTAATAAATTGCCTGAGAGGGTCTTCATGTCCACCTCCATTTTCTTTTTTCCAAATTAAACCTTCAGGGCCAGGAGCCATATTTTTCCAAATAAAAAATATGTAGAAGTACATAAATGATTAGGAAATCTGAAAAATATCATAGTGGGCTATTGAGGGCATCCATTTAACCAATTTTTAAAAACCATCCACTAGTCTTGTTCCTCATCCACACTGCCTGGTTTATGCAGGCTCCTAAGGGATGTCTTTACTGTTTTTATTTTCTTTAAATGTACAAATTCTATAAAGTTCAAGAGACATTTGGCAGCCTCAGCAACATGGCAAAATCCCATCTCTACAAAAAATACAAAAATTAGCCAGGTGTGGTGGTGCACACCTGTGGTCTCAGCTACTCAGGAGACTGAGGTGGGAGGATTCACTTGAACCCAGGAGGTCAAGGCTGCAGTGAGCCATGATTTGTGCCACAGCAGTCCTGCCTGGACTACACGAGACTCTGTCTCAAAAGGAAAAAACAAAAAAAGACATTTGGGATGCAGACCTTTAAGTTTGTTGCCAAAGCACTACTATTGGTCTCTACTGTAATTTTTTTTTTTTTTTCTGAGATGGTGTCTCACTCTGTCTCCCAGACTGGAGCACAGTGACATGTGATTTCAAGTCAACGCAACGTCCGTCTCCCAGGTTCAAGTGATTTTCCTGCCTCAGCCTCCTGAGTAGCTGGGACTACAGGCATGTGCCACCATGCCCAGCTAATTTTTGTATTTTTTAGTAGAGATGGGGTTTTGCCATGTTGGCCAGGCTGGTCTTGAACTCCTGACCTCAGGTGATCCACCCGCCTCGGCCTCCCAAAGTGCTGGGATTACAGGTATGAGCCACTGCACTCAGTTTGTCTCTATTATTATAGTAGATTCCCATTTTTAACATGAGATTCTAAAAATGTCAACGTCAATTCTTTTTTCTCTTTTTGGAGACGGAGTCTTGCTCTGTTGCCCAGGCTGGAGTGCAATGGCGCAATCTCGGTTCCCAGTAACTTCCGCCTCCCAAGTTCAAGCCATTCTCATTCTCCTGCCTCAGCCTCCTGAATGGCCGGGACTACAGGTGCACGCTGCCACACCTGGTTAATTTTTTGTATTTTGTAGTAGAGATAGGGTTTCACCATGTTGCCCAGGCTGGTCTTGAACTCCTGAGCTCAGGCAATCCACCCACTCGGCCTCCCAAAGTGCTAGGATTACAGGCGTGAGCCACCGCACACAGCCTGTCAACGTCAATTCTAATGTCAACTTAGTAAAGAGAAAAAGAAACCTAATTTTAAGCATGAGTATCATGATGATCATTTTTATTATTTTGTTTTTATATGGCAGCAGAGTGAGCCTGTAAACGTAGCCCTCTGCTGCAGAACCCCTCTTCTCCACCCATGTCTCACTCAGAGTATAATGCAAAGTCCTCACCTTAACCATAAGCCCTGTCACTTACTCATCTCACTCTGTTCCAGTCCCTCAGATCACCCGGTTGTTTCTGGAACACATTAGGTACTTGCAACCTCAGGGCCTTTGCACTTACTTTCTATAGAACATCATTATCACAGTAAGGCCTTCCTTGGGCTCCATCTGAAAAATTAAACATCCTTTTCCTGACATGTCATAATCCCCTTCATTTCTTTGTTGTCTCCTTAACGTTTATCTCAGTCTAATATTCTCTGTATTTTTCTCCTTTTTCATTCTATGTATAGTACTTATTTATCTTCTTTGTCAGATTTTTTTCCCAAGTAGAATATAAATCCCACCAAGTCTCAGGTTTTTGTCTTTTTTGGTGACTGCTGTCTTTTCAGTATACAGAACAGTGCCTGGAGCACATAGTAGATGTTCAGTGATTTACTGGGACATACACACTACACACTCCACTAACAGTCATTATAATAATGCAAAATAGGCTCTATTGGATCCTCATTTTACAGGTAATAAATCAAAGTACACCTCATAGCTTGAGACTTAGAGAGGTAGGTAAGTACCTTGGCCAGCGAGTGATGGGGCAGAAACTGAATGCATGTCTGTTGGACTCGAGCACTTCACCTCTAACTGGCAAACATTTGTTCAATATAAAGCCACTTAAGGATTCTGTTGGTTGTTAAGGAACAGACTTTTTAAAGCGTAAAAATAATAGAAGTTTGGTAGCTTAGGAACACAAAACATCATTTATATTGTTTGATGAAAATAGCCAAAAGGCTATAGTTATGTCATGATTTACATGATGTTTTCAAATAGAGGAAAAATGCTTGGAAGTCCTTAGAAAACTTGTAATAACTGAGTGGATCACTGTAACTCTAGTCACATGTACTTATTGTTGTAAAGTGTAACAATATTTTATTCTTCAAATTTACTGAATATTTATCAATGTGTATTTTTTCTTTTTCTTTTTTTTTAATCCACTCTTCATCTCATGTTTTTTTAATCTCGTTTTCAGACCCTCCGCCTGTGTTACGTGTTGATGACCGGCAGCGGCTGGCCCGGGAGCGACGTGAGGAAAGGGAGAAACAGCTAGGTACCCCAGGCCCTGTGTCCATGGCCCGGATTTGAATGGATGTCACTATAATACCACGGTCTCTTGCATACCTTTATGAATTTTGCAGGTGGATTATGAAGCAGAATTTAGGATTTGATGATACAATATAAACATAGGGCTAAGTTTTAAGTAACAATAAATGCTAGCCTGAGGATTCAGGTAATTTTTTTTTTCTTTTTTTTTTTTTTGCAATCAATCACAGTTTAATGTGGCACTGGAGGAAAAGTATATATGAGTGGAGTGATAGTACAGCTTACATTTTACTACCGAGAAAATGCAAGGACAGTAAACATATGGTTCTTTTTTACGTGAAAAGTTATGAGATTATACACTGCCAGGGCACTTAACTGCCTTCTCTGTTAAAATTATGCTGCCATTGAACTTATAGACAGGTGCTACCAGGCTGCTGCCAGGAAAAGCATGTGCTGAGGTGTCTGATTTTTCTCTTATTACCTAAGGACCTTGTGAAAGGTTAGCGACTGCAATATTTGTCATATAATCACTGGAACCTGGATCACAGGACTATCTTTGCCGGAAGCTGAGACTAGAGCACTTAGAGATTGTACAGTTATTGTCTTCTAGAATACTGGGCAAGGAAGCAGGTGCCAACCCCTCCTTTACTTTGATGTCCATTTATGTAAACTTGCTAAAACAGGTTACTCTCTTGAAATTACCTGAACGATGTACCTTGAAAAGATTAAATGCCTGGTCAGCATGTGTGTGTACAGAGTGCCTGGGTATTCTAAAACTAGACTGACAGGGTATCAAATTTTTCCCAGCAGATGACCTGTAACTTCTTAAAGTTGTACTGCATTTTGTAAGAGTTAATGTTTCAACTGGGGACTCAGCCCCTGTATCTCATCCCTTTATTATTATTCCAAAGCCCAAATTTGTGAAATGTACTGGAAGTTGGTTTTCAAAAGTCTTTTGCTATTGTTTACATTCTTCCAACTCAGACTTGTTTCTGTCCCTTGCCATAATGGCCATATGAGGTCATTTATTTTGCTTCTGAGGTTTTTTAGGCACAGATTTCAGTGGCTTACTGGAAGTGAACATACTCTGCTGTTTTTCTATGCCTAAAATTTCCTCCCTGGCCTGACAGGTTCCCTGCAGGCAGGTAGGTTCTTGGGGAGCAGGCTGTCTGTGGTCACCAGGGCTCTTCCTCCTGTGAATATGCCCATTGCTCTCCAGTAAGGTTGCTTTGACAAGCAAACCAGAAACTGAGAGAGGATGAAGGCAGAGCTGCTGAAACTAGAAGATGAGTAAAAATAAGAAACTGACTACTGTTTTAGGGTGGCTGTTATTTACACTCTGTTTTCAAATCCATGCGTGTGTCCTTTTCCCCCTCTATCCCATCAGGTCTCACACTTGGAGATCTCTTTAGTTATAGTGTGGATTCATATCTGCTTGAATAGAAGGAGTTCCATAGGTCAGGAGATCATTCCTTTATGATTTAAATCACATTGTGAATTAGCTTTTCCATACTTAACTCACACCTTTCCATTTGGGTTTCTTTATCTTACAAAACCAAGCATTAGTTTTTTGTGGAAAGCATGAATATGCTACTGGTGAAACAAAAATGACTTATACTGTAGAGGTGTAAGACTTACAGCTTTGAGCTTGCAGTTCTCCCTAAAAGTTGCCTACCTTTGTGTATTGAGTGACTAGATTTTCTCTTAAGATGTAATGCTATATTTCAATTCATATTGATAACACAGGACATGACATTAGTTTATATATTCAAACACTGTATGTGCCATATATTGTATTTAAAAGATGACAAAAAGATGAATAAAGGTTGACACCCAACCCTCTAGAGCTAGGTGTAGTCTAGTGGAAGGCAGATGAACAAATAGCAACTATTAACATCACAGCACAGTGCATCCACTGTGAATGGGTATGCGCCAGGGGCATTGAGAGCCTGTAGAAGTGCCTACCCCAGCCTGGCTCTGCGAGGTGCCACCCACGTTCCCAACTAAAGGATGAAAGGAGCCATTCAAAGGGATAGAAAAGCAGGCATTATAGAACAATATCCAAGAACAGGTGGGAAAAAGGCATTTGCTGAGAGACCCAACATGCTTTTCAGATTATTATATGGTTATATGTTATATATATATTATATTATATTATATTATATTATATTATATTATATTATATTTAGATGATTGTACTATTCTATTACAGCTTAACTTTTTTGGTGAGCCAATATGTGATATACATAGTTTCTGTCTTCTCTCTCTCTCTCTTTGAAATGGGATCTTGTTATGTTGCCCTGGCTGGAGTGCAATAGCTGTTCACAGGTGTGATCACAGTGCACTACAGCCTCGACCTCCTTGGCTCCAATGATCCTCAGCCTCTTTAGTAGCTGGCACTGCAGACTCACGTCACCACACCTGGCATTTTTCTCTTTATTCTTACCCCTGCCATGTTAAATATCATAATTTTTAAAAATTCAATCTCATTTCTTTTTTCAATTGTCAGAGTCATAATTTGAAGGAAAATATATCCATTCTAATTTTTTTCTTTGCATTAATTTTATTTTCTTTACATTTTAGAGCAGTGCCTTTTTGCCTATTTTTTTTTTCTATTTTAACCATCATAATTGGAACTAAGTCTTGAGAGGCTGCCTTCAGTCTTCATAAATACAGAAATGAGCATATATGCAAATATACATGCATATATTATATACATTTGTAAAAGAGCCATTTAAAAATCTAATTTCAGCTGTGCCTTAGAGTACGTGAGGGTGATTTCTAAAAAATCTTCAGTACCAGTGGTAGCGTGGGGACTGGCTGGGAAGCGGGCGGTCGAGTGTGTCCTGTGTGGACGCGGATCCTGCCCGAAGCCGGGTGTTCTCGTGAAGTTCTGACTTTCCAGGGAATGCTTGTGTTTGATTATTAAATGTCTATTATAGGACTTTGGGTGATCAGCCCATGACCTAGACCTCTAGACAAAATAAAACAGGGAAAATTTGCTAGAATCAAGATTGATGGATCCATGTTCAGTTGGAGTCCAGCTTCATACTACAAATGAATGCCATAAAACCTACTATACTCGTCACACAGGTTTTAAGACTTTGCAAGAATTGTCATCAAATGATATGCTTTTACTTCAACTTAGAACTGGAATGACACTTTCTGGGAACAATGCAATTTGCTTTCATCATGTAAAAATTTACATTGACAGATTTGAGGATTTACAGAAGTCATGTTGTGACCCATTTAACATACACAAAAAATTAGCCAAAAAAAATTTGCACGTAATTGACTTAGATGATGCCACTTTTCTGAGTGCAAAATTCGGAAGACAGCTTGTACCTGGTTGGAAGCTTTGTCCAAAATGCACACAGATAATCAATGGAAGTGTGGATGTTGATACTGAAGACCACCAGAAAAGGAAACCTGAGTCAGATGGAAGAACTACTAAAGCTTTGAGGTCACTACAATTTACAAATCCAGGAAGGCAAACTGAATTTGCTCCAGAAACTGGTAAAAGAGAAAAAAGAAGGCTTACAAAAAATGCAACTGCTAGTTCAGACAGACAAGTGATAACAGCAAAGAGTAAGGTCTGTGATAGCCAAGGTCTCCTGATTTTTAGTGGGATGGACCTCTGTGACTGCCTCGATGAAGATTGCTTAGGATGTTTCTATGCTTGTCCTGCCTGTAGTTCTACCAAGTGTGGAGCTGAATGCCCCTGTGTCCGCAAGTGGCTGTATGAGCAAATTGAAATTGAAGGAGGAGAAATAATTCATAATAAACATGCTGGATAATCTGTGGTACCAAACTATGGGGCCTTTAAAGGTCATTATTTCTAAAATTCTGTTACTCTAAGATACATTTTAAGCTTGATTGTCATATGACAAAGATTTTAAAACCACCTCAGTGTACCCTAATTTTTCATCTTGGGTGCTTTAAGATTCACTATTTGATATAAATTCAGATAGGCTATTTTTCAGCCTATTAAGCCTGTCTGGATCAATATAAACAAGTAGGGTGTAGGCAGTCCTCTATTTGCATGTTTCCCTTGGGCACAAATTTCAGTGACCCAGATTTAGTTTAAACACCGGTTTCCTTAACAGGAAGGAAAAGAAACTGGTAAGGAAACTGTTGTTAAAATCTAGGTTAAAATTTTAGTTAGCACAGTATAACTCTGAGTAATTACATGAAGTACAAACTTCTCTGCTAGTTCTTCAGTCTACAAATCGCTATGTAAATAACAGATATACTTCATGATTAATGACCAGTCATGTTGACTACTTTCAAATTCTTCCAGTGGTTTGTCCCTGTGTATCTGTTATTCAGTTCACTTGCAGCAGAGCACGTAGTTATGCTGTCTCTTTGTCATCCACTTGACATTTTATAGAAGTGAATACTCAAAAGAACTGGCCAACAAAGATGAAAGTGCAGCAAAGCAATGAAAAATGATAACACTGGAAGTGAAATTTTAATCAAACATAAATGAATTTGTAGAAGAAGTCACTGACCATGGGAATATTGTTCTTGCTGCTGTGCATTCATAGGAGCTTTATGAAGGCAAACTTATCAACACAAATAAGAAACATGGTTGCAATAAAGACAAATGTGTCCCAGAGGAAGTGATGGTTAAAAAAAAACTTTACATTAAAGGATATTTAATGTGAATATAGAAATATATCACAACACTGAAAGCACAAGCAATAAAAGGGTGGAAGCTGACCCAAACTTAAAAGAAGTATGAGTTTGCCATGAATATAAAAGATGCTCCCTCGGTATCATAAGTTACTTGCCAGAAAAAAAGGCAAGCCCTATTCAAACTACTTCGTTTTTACAATGAAATAAACCACTTTAGTTCTATTTCTAATGTTTTAAATTACAGTGTACTAAATATTTTTAAACATTTTTGCATTTTTTTCCTACATTTATAACTGATCTGAAGAATTTTTAATATTTTAGCAGTATCTTAAAGGTCATGGAACAATCATCATTTTCCCCATTGATTAT